AGAACCTGATCACTAATAATCAATCATCTAAGAACCTGATCACCAATCATCAATCATATAAGAACCTGATCACTAATAATCAATCATCTAAGAACTGATCACTAATAATCAATAATCTAAGAACCTGATCACTAATAATCAATAATCAATAGTCAATAAGTTTTAATCAGGTGATTACTTCCTGTCCTCAGAGGGGGGCGTGTCATCATGGTGACGGGCAAGAACCTGGGCGTTGTGCAGCAGCCAATCATATCGGTGTGGGTGGAGCCTCTGGAGGTCCAGAGGGTGAAGCGGAGAAGACGATTGGCTCTGCTCACCGCCAAGCAGCTGGTCTTCAACAGCACTATGAGAACGGTGAGATCAACCAAGAGGAGAGTGGTCAGGACGTCCTGACTAATATCTGTCTCTCCTGTCTGTCTCTCTGCACCTGTCTGTCTCTCCTGCGTCTCTGTCTCTTCACCTGTCTGTCTACCCTGTCTGTCTCTCCCGTGTATCTTCTGTCCATCTCTTTGTCTCTCTCAACCTGTCTGTCTCTCTCTTCACCTGTTTGTCTCTCATGTGTATCTCTCTTTTCTCTTTATGTCTCTCCTGTCAGCCTCTCCTTGTCACCTGTGTCTCTCCTGTCTGTACCTCTCTTCACTTGTCTGTCTCTCCTGTCTGTCTCTCCCTGTCCACCTGTGTGTCTCTCCTGTCTGTCTCTCTTCACCTGTGTGTCTCTCATGTCTCTCTCTCCCTGTCCACCTGTATGTCTTTTCACTTGTGTGTCTCTCATGTCTCTCTCTGTCCACCTGTGTGTCTCTCCCTGTCAACCTGTTTGTCCCTCTCCTCACCTGTCTGTCTCTCATGTCTTTCTCTCCCTGTCCACCTGTCTGTCTTTTCACATGTATGTCTCTTCTGTCTCTCTCTCACAACCTGTGTGTCTCTCTCTGTCCACCTGTCTGTCTCTCATGTCTCTCCCTGTCCACCTGTCTGTCTCTCAGGTGTCAGAGCCCTGCTCCGTCCTGTCTTCCTCTCAGATGACCTGTCCGACTCCCAAAGTGACCCCAGAGGTCAAAGTGAAGGGCGTCTGGTTCCAGCTGGACAACGTCAGAGTCCACTATGAAACCATCAAGGTACCTGTCTGTCTCTCTGCCTGTCTGTCTGTCAGGATGAACATCTGGAGGTGGTGGAGAACAAAACGGTCTCCATGGTGATATGATATTATGGTCTGTAATACACAGAGTCTGCAGGGGAGATCAATATCTGTGATCAGAGACATAAAGAGCCTGTCTGTCTCTCTCTGTCTCTCCTTCTTCATAGTTAGCGTGTTAGTATCAACGTTTTCACAATAAAAGCTGATAAAATGCAAAGATTCAGAATAAAAGAAGGTTCTGATGGAGACACCTCTCTCTCTCTCTCTCTCTCTCTCTCTCTCTCTCTCTCTCTCTCTC